CGTTGCCCTGGCTGGAGAGCAATGGCGTGATCTCAGCTCATTGCAACCTGTCTCCAGGGTTCAAGCGATTCTCCTGCCTCAGCCTCCTGAATAGCTGGGATTACAGGCACGTGCCACCATGGCCAGCTAATTTTGTATTTTTAGTAGAGACGAGGTTTCACCACGTTGGTCAGGCTGGGCTCCAACTCCTGACTTCAGGTGGTCTACTGCCTTGGCCTCCTAAAGTGCTGGGATTACAGGCATGAGCCACCGTGCCCAACCTCTAAGTTTTCAAAACTGGTTTCTGCACACTTAAAATTAATTCATTTCACTGTATGTAAATTTGAACTCAAAAGAAAAAAGATTGTTAAAATATTGAACGCTACTTAATATACATGTTGAAATGTTTTGGGATGAAGCACAATGATGCCTGCAACCTGCCTTGAAATGCGTCCAGAAACAAGGTGATTGATAATGGACAGAACGATGAATAGATGGATACGCAGTAAAGCAAATGTCATGTCAGTGCTGTAACATTGATATTGTAAAATATATATTTGTTTATGTAAATATTTAAAATATACGTATATAAATAAAATTGTAATATCTAGGTGGAGGCATTGGATATTCACTGTGCCATTCTTTCAACTTTTACATATGTCTGAATTTTCATAAAATACTGGAAAAGAAAAATAGTACTTTGATTTCAAGAAAAATATTAATAAATAGACAATAGCACATGTGGTAGAATGAATTGGTAAAAATCATGAAGGTGATGGTGAATGATCACCCTGTTTGGCAAACAGGGACTAGAGTCTAAGTGCTTTGGACAGGATCAGAAGTTTCTAGGAATGTGCAGTCGCAGGGGAAAAGGTTCAGGTAAAGAAAACTGTCAGGTGGAAGCCGCTAAGCCATGGGGGCAGAGCCTGAAGAGCAGCGGGGAAGTCTCACCTCTGCGATCAAGGCAGCTCTTCAATTCCTGAACCCATGGGTCCTTGCTGCTCCCACACACGCTTCGGAGAGGCAGCTGGAACCTGCGGGGGAGAGACCTGGGCTCAGCTGCGGCTCCTACTTTCCTTCCCCAGCTCCTTCCTCATTCCAGAGGCGTGAAGTCGCCACCAAGAAAAAGCCCTTTCTCCTGGGGCTGGGAAATTCCCTGGTAGGTGCGTAGGAGTAATGAAGTTTTGGGGAATGGGAGCAAACAGAACCCGGAGACGGGGCGAGGTGCGCCGGGAAGTAGTCCAGGTTTGACCGGAGAAGGTCCTGGAGGCACCTGGCAAGGAGGGACCGCGCAGGAGCTGCCGTCGCAGAGGCAGGCGAGAAAATTACCTGACGTAGCGCGGACAGTGATGGTAAGATTTCAGATGTTTTCGGAGATGATATATGTACTGAGCCGATGGCGGAGAGTCCGAAGAAATTATTTTATCACAGTGACAGCTTCCAGTGACGCTGCCCTCGTTGCCATTGCCTGAGCGAGACAGGTCGTCGGCACCCGTTCCCAGACCCAGGGTCTCCACTCCGCTGTTCCCTGGCCTCCAATCCACTGCCTCATTACAGCCTCTCCCGTAAGCCCCGGGGGCAGAGCGCCAGGTTCAACCCACACATCATCACGCCCTCCACAACGTCCATAATCCCGCCGGGAGCCAGATGTCCCCCGGCCGCTGTCCCCAACCCTAGGTGGTTGGCTGGCTTTCCTCTGTTCCCGCTGCCTTCATCAACCCAACTCCGTGGGCCTCGTGCTCCCTCCCCGACTCACCCCCTTCCCTTGACTTGAGGATCTGAGTCCCCTGCCCCGCCCCCGGCTAACCTGGCAGAGTCAGGTACGCGAGCTGGAGGAGCTGAAGCAGGAGCGCGAGGGACCCGGGTCCCCAGGCCCGCCGCATCTCGGGGCTCCGCGGAAGCTGCGGGGATGGAGTCGCCTCGCTCTGACTCCCAGACAGGCTCCGGCGCGTGACGTCCAGCTGGTTTCTCAATGGCTTTCGCCAGGGGTCGGAGGAGACCGCAGCAGTCGACGCCACGTCCCGCCTGGGGAGGAGGCGAGAGCCGGCGGCGCCCCCCTGCCCCGCTGCGCGCTAACCTTGCGCTCCTCACCTGGTCCGCGCCGCGCCAGCCTCAGGCCGCTGGGAAAGTCCGGGAGGTGGAGCACCCGCGCCCTGAGCCCCCGCACTGGGCTCGAGCTCCATCGAGGGACGGCCAGGAATCTCAGAGGAAACCGAAAGAACACTCCTGCGGCTGGCGAGGAGAGGCGGGGCGGGACGATGGCGGCCCGAGGAGGCGATTCGGTTGGGTTCAGGAGCCCAGCCCCTCCGCCCGCCCCACTTGCCCGCGGGCCTGAGAAGCGGGTCACGGCTGCCCCGGCCCTCCTTCTCCAAGGCACTTTCACTTCCCCGCTCCCGCGCCGCGGGACCCAGCAGCGCTGGATGAGCCTCGGGGTGGCGCGGTGGAGGGAGCAGCCGCCAGCCCCGGCCGCGCGCCCCTTCGGGGCCGCCACACGCGGACGCACCGAGCCCAGTGCTGGGGCGGGGGGGCGTGACCGCCCGCTGAGCCGGCTGGGCCTCGGGCAGCCCTGACGTCACGACCGAACCCGCGCACCCTCCACCCCGCGGTATTTACCTTTGAAAAGTGGCAGCGGCTGCAGGTACCGGAGGAGTGGGGCGGCCGGGAGGGGCTACGCCTACCGGGTCTCCCCGCCACACCGATCCGAGCCCAGGACAAACCCTCTCCCACTCCCATGCCCCACAGACGCATCCAAAATGCTTCCCTCCTCGCCAGACCCGTCCCGATAGAATTAGCCCTCTCTCGTCTCTAGCCTTCATTTAAACTCTACTTTTGAGGGTCTGAATTCTCCAATTTTAAGCCCCAAATACCATCTCATCCCTGAGTAGTCTTCTCCAACCGTAGTCACCCAGTTTCAAGTCCTGCCCCCATTTTTCTCCCTGAACTCCCATCCTCAGCCCTGAAAACCCTCTTCTCAGCTCCTAGCCTATCCACAGATCGAACCCTAAGTGACTCTTACCTACCCTCTCCTCCAATTTGTGACCCAGCCCCAAACTCTCTCATTCCTACTCTGTCCCTCACGATATATCCCTTCCTTTGCTTAGTCTGGGCCGGGGCCCTGTGTCCCTGAAGACATGGAGTTTGTGTCTGGATACCGGGATGAGTTCCTTGATTTCGCTGCCCTTCTGTTTGGCTGGTTCCGAAAGTTTGTGGCAGAGCGTGGGGCAGTAGGGACCAGCCTGGAGGGCCGCTGGCGACAGCTGGAGGCCCAGATCAGAAGGCTGCCCCAGGACCCTGCCCTTTGGGCGCTCCATGTCTTGCCCAACCGTAGTGTGGGCATCAGCCTGGGGCAAGGGGCAGAGCCAGGCCCTGGACCAGGCCTGGGGGCTGCCCGACTCCTGGGAGACGACCCTCCACTCCACCTTCGAGACCTGAGCCCCTACATCAGCTTTGTCAGCCTAGAGGATGGGGAGGAAGGGGAGGAGGAAGAGGAGGAAGATGAAGAAGAAAAGAAGAGAGAGGAGGGGGGTGCAGGCACAGAGAAGGTGGAACCAGAGGAGGATCGGGAGCTAGCCCCTACTAGCAGGGAGTCCCCCCAGGAAGTAAACCCTCCAGGAGAGTCAGAGGAGGCTGAGCAGGAGGCAGGAGGTGGTGAGGACGGCTGCCGAGAGAACAGGGTGGAGGACAAAACAAGACCCCAGAAGAGGAAGGGACGGAGGAGTGGTAAGAACCGAGGGCTGGCCCAGCCCTACCCCTTGCCCAGCCATCCTTCCTTCGGAAGCCCTCCCCTGCCACTAGCTCTGAGTGCTGGCCCTCAGGCCAATCTGGCCTGAAAACGTTTTTTTACTAACCCACAGTGTTTTTTGTTTGTTTGTTTTTTGGGTTTTTAAAATTTAATGTTTAAACATTGCAAGAAAAAAAGTATCCAGAAGTCTGGATTTACACATTCCCAAGAAAAATCTCAAGCTCTGGCAGTGGGCCCACATTTCTGCACAGCAGTGCATTCTGGTCCTGTATAGCAGCTGTTCCCTTTAGAAGGAGCATGCCCTTGGCTGGGCATGGTGGCTCATGCCTGTAATCTTAGCACTTTGGGAAGCTGAGGCAGGTGAATCACCTGAGGTCAGGAGTTTGAGCCCAGCCTGACCAACAGGGAGAAACCCCATCTCTACTAAAAATATAAAATTAGCTGGGTGTGGTGGCACATGCCTGTAATCCCAGCTACTCAGGAGGCTGAGGCAGGAGAATTGCTTGAACCCAGGAGGCAGAGGTTGCAGTGAGCCAAGATCCTGCCATTGCACTTCAGCCTGGGCAACAAGAGTGAAACTTCCTCTCAAAAAAAGGAAAAGAAGGAGCATGCCCTCTCTCCCCAGTGGCCTTTGCTCAGTGAGGTTACTTGCCTAGCCCCTGTAGGTATTTGAGTTCAGTACTCCTGACTCTGACCATATTTGTCTCTTGCTGCCCCCTACCACTCCAACTTTTCCCTCTTTCCCCAGAGGCTGCCCCCCTGCACCTTTCCTGTCTCTTACTGGTGACGGATGAGCATGGCACCATCTTGGGCATTGATCTGCTGGTGGATGGAGCCCAGGGGACTGGAAGCTGGGGCTCAGGGACTGAGAACCTGGCTCCTCGGGCCTATGTGCTCCTCTGTCACAGCATGGCCTGTCCCATGGGCTCCGGGGACCCCCGAAAGCCCCGACAGCTTACTGTGGGAGATGCCCAGCTGCATCGGTACAGAAATCTGATATCTGAGGCTGGGGAGGGCTGGGGCCCTGGATTCCCAAGCACCGCTCCAGTCTGCTGCCATCTCCACCCCTATTTAGAGAGCTGGAGAGCTTGGTCCCAAGGCTAGGTGTGAAGTTAGCCAAGACCCCAATGCGGACATGGGGTCCCCGACCAGGCTTCACCTTTGCTTCCCTTCGTGCTCGAACCTGCCACGTTTGTCACAGGCACAGCTTTGAAGTGAAGCTGACACCCTGGTGAGCAGCCCCAAAGCTGGGGGCAGAGGAAGACCCCAACAGTCAGGCAAATAGAAAGCAGGCTGGTGGGGGGTGCCTAACAGACAGACAGAAGGAGGGGCAGGGGCATGAAAAGATGAAGAGGAAACAATATGGGCTGTTACAGATGGTTAGAGGGTGTAAGACAAACAGACGGAGTGACACAGGGGTAGCTGCTGGGCAGATGGACAGCAGACAGGACCTACAGAGGCTAACACTGGGTGCCCACCACCCACTGTGTCCCCAGCCCCCAGTGTAGTGCTGTCTTGTATTGTGGAGAGGCTTGTCTCCAGGCTGACTGGCGGCGGTGCCCAGATGATGTGAGCCACCGATTTTGGTGCCCAAAGCTTGCAGCCTTCGTGGAGCGGGCAGGAGAACTGGCAGCCCTGCCTTTTACCTACACCACAGGTACCATAAGGAGGTCAGAATGGTTGGGGAAAACTGGGATCGTGTCTTTGAGACTGGGAATTAGATGTCTGGCCAGGCGCAGTGGCTCACATCTGTAATCCCAGCACTTTGGGAGGCCAAGGCGGGTGGATCAGGACGTCAGAAGTTTGAGACTAGCCTGGCCAACATGGTGAAACGCCATCTCTATTAAAAATACAAAATTAGCCAGGCGTGGGGCATGCCTGTAATCCCAGCAACTCAGGAGGCTGAGACAGGAGAATTGCTTGAACCCGGGAGGCGGAGGTTGCAGTAAGCTGAGATTGTGCCACTACACCCTGGCCTGGGAGACAGAGCAAGACTCCATCTTGGGAAAATAAAAAAAGGAATTAGATGTCTGGAAACAGGGTCCTGGAGTTGAAGGCTGACTGTCTGGGGCTAGAGCCCAGATCCCTGGAATAAAGGCAGGGGCTGGATGTTTGAGGCTGGAGACAGGGTCTCTGAAGCCAAGGACTGAATGTCTAGGTCACTAAGAGAGTGCAGGGATTGGGGAATAGGGATTCAAATACTTACTTGCTTCCTAGCTCCACCACTAACTGGCAGTGTGAACTTAAATCACTTTACAGTGATGTGTTTTGTTATGGTGGCTCACGCCTGTAATCCCAGCACTTTGGAAGGCTGAGACAAACGGATCACAAGGTCAGGAGTTCAAGACCAGCCTGGCCAATATGGTGAAACCCTGTCTCTACTAAAAATAGAAAAATTAGCCAGGCATGGTGGCATACACCTGTAGCCCCAGCTACTCGGGAGGTGGAGGCAGAAGAATCACTTGTACCTGGGAGGCTGAGGTTGCTGTGAGCTGAGATCATGCCACTGCACTCCAGTCTGGGTGACAGAGTGAGACTCCATCTCAAATAAAAAAACAAAAACCACTTTACTTCTTGGAGCCTCCATCTCCTCATCTACAAAAGAGGGATGCTAACAAATGTAAAGGCCCATGGAATTGTCACAAGGATTACGTGGGCTTCGTGCCTGGTACACTGGAGACCCTCAGAAATGGTAGTTCCCTGCCTGACTGGAACCAGACTTAGATCCAGAGTCCTTAGAGGAGGCTGAGGAGAGTTATTCTGGGGTTCTAGGCCAGGCAATGGTTCACACCTGTAATCCCAGCACGTTGGGAAACTAACTTGAGCCCAGGAGTTTGAGACCAGCCTGAGCAACATAGACTCTGTCTCTACAAAAAATAGAAAAAATTAGCTAGGCATGGTACACAGGCTTGTAGTCACAATTCTTGGGAGGCTGAGGTGGGAGAATCCTTTGAGCCTAAGAGGTCGAGGCTGCAGTGATCCATGATCGTGCCACTGTACTCTAGCCTGGGTAACAGAGCAAGACTCTGAGAAAAGTGGGCGCTAGCCCAGTGCCTCAATTCATCCCCTTCTCCTTCTCCAGAGGTGACCAATGAAACCTTCAACAAGGAGGCCTTCCTGGCCTCTCGAGGCCTCACTCGTGGCTACTGGACCCAGCTCAGCATGCTGATTCCAGGGCCCGGCTCCTCTGGGCATCCCCGAGGCAACACACCATCCCTTAGCCTTCTTCTCGGTGGTGCGTGGGGTCTCTCTTCAGGCATGGGCCCCTCGGCCTAGAGGGAAGGACTAGGAAGAAGTTATCTGGGTCCCTCCCAGATAATCCCTCCACATACACACTGACCCCCTACCAACAGCACCCGGGCCATTTCAGGCCTTTCCCCAGCCCTCAATGGAGTCACCCCTACCAACTCCACCCAGAAGCCCCGTCCCTACACAAACCACCATTCCACTTACTGCAGCTTTCTCAGGGAATACACCTCCTTTGGAAGGATGGGTCAGGTGGGAGGAGTCTCCCTGACACCAGGCTCTTCTTTCTTTTGTCCTCTCAGGAGATCCCTATCAGCTTCTCCAGGGGGATGGGCCTGCCTTAATGCCTCCTGTGCCCCCAGACCCACCGCGGGGTCTTTTTGGTGAGGTGGAGGGGCCCTGTGGGAGCTATGGGTAGGGACAGGGACTGGAGAACCAGAGCCTGAGTGACTGTGAAGAAGCAGGCTGTTAGACTAGAGGGGGTGGAGTCCAGGGCCAGGTCCTCTAGTAACCCCCTCCTCCCAGGCTCATGGCAGGATTACTACACATGGCGGGGCCTCAGCTTGGACTCCCCCATGGCTGTGCTTCTCACCTACCCGCTGACTGTGTACTACGTCATCACCCACCTGGTGCCCCAGTACTGTAAGGAGAGCTGAGTGGGGGGTGTGGGCGAGATGGGGGAGTGAGAGCGGACCACATCCTTAAAGAGCTGGTTTCTCACCCAGTCCCTGAGCTCAACATCCAGAACAAACAGTCACTGAAGATCCACGTGGTGGAGGCCGGGAAGGAGTTTGACCTTGTCATGGTTTTTTGGGTAAGTCCCCCCCCAGTACTGAAGGTTGGGCATTGTGGTGTGGGGGTGGATACTGGGTAGAACCCAGATCTGTCCTTCTTTCTGTCCTCCAGGAGCTCTTGGTCCTGCTCCCTCATGTGGCCCTGGAGCTGCAGTTTGTAGGTGATGGCCTGTCCCCCGAAAGCGACCAGCAGCATTTTACCTTGCAGAGGGTGAGGGCTGAGGGGGCTCTGCTCTTTAGCCATGACCCCTCCAGTGACCCCCTGGTTGGGCCCTGCCCTTCTGCCCTCGACTCCCCATCTTGCTGGTGCATCCTCCAGTTCCCTGACTTCCTGTGGCTTTTCCATCCCTCTCTTGGCCCCTCAGGACAGCCCCGAGGTGTCTGTCCGGAATGGTTCTGGCGTATCAGCACGGCCCAGCTCTGGCACTAAGGAGAAGGGTATCCGCAGGGACCTGCAGATCAAGGTGTCAGCAAGGCCCTACCACCTGCTCCAGGGGCCCAAGCCCGACCTGGTTATTGGTAAGAGCCTGGGGCTCAGGGGCAGGCACATGCGGAAGACGGGAGAGAAGCCGACCATGGGAGCCAGCGTCTCCAACCTCTCTGCAGGATTTAACTCTGGGTTTGGTCTCAAGGATACATGGCTGAGCTCTCTGCCCCGCCTGCAGGTGAGCAATGGGGACAAACGGGAACTTCTCTCCCCTCCTGCCTGACCCCATCCCATCTCCTTTTCTGAAAGTCTCCGGGCTCTCCTCTGCACCATCACCTGCTCCACAGACCTGGGGAATGCCCACGGGTCCCTCTGCCCCTCTCTGTGTCTGCCTCGGGCCTCCTCCTGCCCCCCTCCCGCCAGATCTGTCCCGGGGCCTCGGCTTTCAGCCCTGTCTGTCATCCTGGCTGCTGGGATGGATCTGTAGAGGGGGCTCTCAGAGCGAGTCTTGCCCCACCCAGTCCCTCCGAGTGCCAGCCTTCTTCACCGAGAGCAGCGAGTATGGCTGCGTGATGGACGGCCAGACCATGGCGGTGGCCACTGGAGGGGGCACTAGCCGTCCCCAGCTCAACCCCTTCCGCTCCCCCTTTCGCCTCAGAGCGGCCGACAACTGCATGCCCTGGTAAGGGCCTGCGACCCTATCTCCTTCCTGACCCTTCGCTTCTCTTACTCTCTGGCTCCGCATCCTCAAAGACCCACCTCTGCCCTAGTCCCCACCGTCTTGGGACCCTCTTGCCCCCAACCCAGCAACCTGCCTTCTCTGCTCCCACTACTGGTCACCCCCATGGGAGGTCTCGACAATCCCCAGCACACCCCTCTTTAGATCTAGGTCGCAGAATCTCCCCAGTCCACAAAAGACCCTGCGACCCTCTAACAAAGCCAACTCTGAGTCTAGCCCCAAGCCCTGGAACTCGGAGGGGCAAGCCCCGCCCCTTGGAGCTCCGCCCGCTGGTCCCTGACCGCGCCCCGCGGCCCGCAGGTACTGCAACGCCTTCATCTTCCACCTGGTTTACAAGCCTGCGCAAGGGAGCGGGGCCCGCCCGGCTCCCGGCCCCGCACCCCGGTCCCCAACTCCCTCCGTTCCTCCCGCCCGCACCCGAAGGCGCCGAGGAGAAAAGAAACCCGGGCGGGGGGCCCGCAGGCGGAGATAAGTGCGGCGACTGTAGTAGTCCCCCCTCCCAAACACGCTCCGAAAGGAAAACGTGAAAACACTCAGGGCCGAGGGGGAGGACAGATTGGTAAAACACGAAAAAGTAAATAAAATTACTTGTTTGAAACCACTGAGTCATTTACCTTTTGATTACTTGCTCATAATTGGGTTATTAAACCCGGAAGGAAAAGAAATATATATATATATTTTTTTTGAGACAGAGTTTTGCTTTTGTTGCTCAGGCTGGAGTGCAGTGACACAATCTCGGTTTACCGCAACCGCCGCCTCTCCAGTTCTCCAGCCTAAGCCTCCCGAGGGGGGATTACAGGCTCCCGCCACCACACCCAGCTAAGTTTTGTACTTTTAGTACAGACGGGGTTTCACCATGTTGGCCAGGCTGGCCTCGAACTCCTGATCTCAGGTGATCTGCGAGCTTCGGAAAAGAAAAAGTTAGGGATGACTACATTCCTCCAGCCCCATTCAGTCCCCCCGACGGCTATCTCCTCTTTAACTCAAGTCGAGGATTTTGACCCTCCTTGGTAATCCCAAGGCTCTCCTAATTTGTGTTGGCTGATGGCTTTCCAGCCCCAGTAACCCTCAGGGACCCACCCCAAGGCAAGGAAAGACCGGGCAGCAGAAAGTGGCTTCTTCCTGGGGGCAGGTGAAGCAACCTCCTGGGAGCACACAGGCCCTTGATTTGGATTGAGTGAAAGACCTCAGCTACCCAACTCCACCTTTTCTCACCACCTCATATTTAATAATAACTCCTGCTGAGCTGTTCTCCTGAAATCACTCAAGGTACGTCCATTCCCTCTGCAAACGCCACCATATCTCATCGCCACATTGCAGCCAGAGTATTCCTCCTAAAAAAGACATCTGAGGGCTGGGTGAGGTGGCACATGCCTGTAATCCCAGCTTCTCGGGAGGCTGAGGCAGGAGAATCATTTGAACTGGGAGGTGGAGGTTACAGTGAGCCGAGATCGAACCATTGCACTCCAGCCTGGGCAACAAGAGTGAAACTCTGCCTCAAAAAAAAAAAAAAAAAAGACGTCTGAGGGCTGGGCGAGGTGGCTCACGCCTGTAATCCCAGCACTTTGAGAGGCCAAGGCAGGTGGATCACAAGGTCAGGAGATTGAGACCAGCCTGATCAACATGGTGAAACCCTATCTCTACTAAAATACAAAAATTGACCAGGTGTGGTGGTGTGTGCCGGTAATCCCAGCTAGTCAGGTGGCTGAAGCAGGAGAATCATTTGAACCCAGGAGGCGGAGATTGCAGTGAGCTGAGATCATGCCATTGCACTCCAGCTTGGACGACAGTGAGACTGTCCAAAAAAAAAGACATCTGACCTCATTTCTCCTTTGTTTCAGTCCCTGCAGTGACTTCCCTTAGCTCTTACAGTCCCTTGAGTGTGGGCTGACCTTATAGAAAGGGAAAGACAGAGGAGAAACCTGGCAGTTATGACCTTAACCAAGAGATTAGGGTGAACAATTAAGTCCTGCTGATATTACACTTAAGTCTCTTTCATTTTATAACACATCTCCCTGCCTTTTACTTATTTCATGACATTGATTTAACAAGACACAGAATCATTTGTCCCATAGAATGTTCCTCACTCTGGAGCTGGCTGATTACTTCCTCAGGATGCTTTTAATGTATTCACTTATCTTCTTCAGTTTCTGTTCAACGGGCAGTTAGGTCTAGATGGCAAGGCTCTGCTAATGGGTCCCTGCCAACCTCTGCAGGCTGATCTCATGCCATTTCCTTCCCTGTCGACTCTCCAGCCAGACGTTTCTAAAGAAAGTTCCACTCTCTCACTGTGGAACTTCCCATGTTTTTTTTCTTTCTTTCTTTTTTTTCCGAGGCATAGTCTTATTCTGTCATCCAGGCTGGAATGCAGTGCACAATCTCCGCTCACTGCAACCTCCGTCTCCCAGGTTCAACTGATTCTCCTGCCTCAGCCTCCCGAATAGTTGGGATTACAGGCACCGGCCACGGTGCCCAGCTAATTTTCTATTTTTAGTAGAGACAGGGTTTCACCATGTTGGCCAGGCTGGTCTTGAACTCCTGACCTCAGTTGATCCACCCATCTCGGCTTCCCAAAGTGCTGGGATTACGGGCATCAGTCACTGTGCCTGGCTGGAACTTCCCATGTTCTTGTTCAACTAATTCTTTTTTTTTTTGCTTTTTATTATACAAATTTTCAAATAGAGAAAATGAATGGTACCATGCACAATCATATCTACCTAGGTTCAACAATTGTTAATAGTTTGCTTTTTCTCTTTTTCTATTTTGCATAGCCATCTTAAAATAAATTATGGACATTTAAACCTTTCACTCTTAAACATATCTCCAATTATCACAACTAAAGTGACATTTAGGCTGACACCTAGGCTGAGAAAGAATTAGTTGATGGATTTTGTGCCTCCATCAACTAATTCTTTCTCAGCCTAGGTGTCAGCCTAAATGTCACTTCCTTAGGAAAGGAAGCATTTCCTGACACCCAGATGAGGTTTGACACTCCTCCCCACATTAAGCCCTCATAGCACCTTGCATATCCCCTTTGGTCACGATTATCACACTTGTAATTTCTTGTCTACCCTTTCAACTGTCAACCCAGAAGGGATGGGTGCCACCTCTATCCCCCAGGGTCTAGCCTGGCCGGGCATATGGCAGCATACTATAGGAGCTCATTAGCTGCTTATCAGATTGCTTTCCCCCCATACTTTCCACCCTCCCTCCTCATTTTTTCTCTCAGCTTCATCCCCTACAGCCAGAAAGGGGAAGCGTGGGTCTCTGGTGGATTAAGGAGAAACAGAACTTTTCACGGCTCCCATGGCCAAAAAATAAGATTTTCATAATTCCTGACACCTATTGCATAACACTAGGAAAGGATGTGGTTATCTCCCAGTGGTGGGATTACTAAGGATTTGTTTATTCATTTTGTTCAGCTGCACTGCTTATTTTTCCTCCATGAACACATAGTAATTTTGTAATAAAAGTGCTTAATATACAAATTGCTCTTTAATAATTCATTTATCAACTATTGATTGAATGCATACAATGCTTTGTGTCAAACCTTAGCGATGCAATGGGGAAAAAAGACAGAAAGTGGTCTCTGCCTCCATAAAGCTTCCAGTTTAGGGCAAGGATCAGTAAACTATGGCTTCCAGCCAAATCAATCCCACCTTTTGTTTTTGCACGGCTTGTAAACTACTAAAAGAAGAAGAGTTCATGAGAAAATTATTCAAAATTCAAATTACAGTGTCTCTAAATTTATATTGAAGCAAAGCCACACCATTTCTTTATGTATTGCCTGTGGTTACTTTCAGGATGCACATGGCATGGTTTGAGTGCTGCACTTGCAGCAGAAACACTGTGAGCTGCAGAGTCTCAAATATTTATGAACAGACCCTTTGCAGGAAGTCTGCCAACACCTAGTCGAGGACAAGATTTCCAAAATGCAGCTTTATGAAATTTTGTGCTGATCATGAAGTCAATTTAGCGAGCCTCAAGCAGCATTCTTTTTTTTAATGAAATGGAATGGATCAAAATATGTATCACAGGCCGGGTGCAGTGACTCATGCCTGTAATCCCAGCATTTTGGGAGGCTGAGGCAGGTAGATCACCTGGAGTCATGAGTTTGAGACCATTCTGACCAACATGGAGAAACCCCATCTCTACTAAAAATACAAAATTAGCCAGGCATGACACGTGCCTGTAATTCCAGCTACTCAGGAGACCAAGGCAGAAGAATCGCTTGAACCTAGGAGGCGGAGGTTTAGGTGAGCCAAGATTATGCCATTGCACTCCAGCCTGGGCAACAAGAGCAAAACTCCGTCTCAAAAAAAAAAAAAACAAAAAAACACACACACACACAGACGGGGGTCTCCCTATGTTGCCCAGGCTGGTCTTGAGCTCAAGGGATCCTTCCTCCCCATCTCCACCTCCCAAAATGCTGGGATTACAGGTGTGAGTCACCACACCCAGCCAGGCAAGTTACTTTAACTCTGAGCCACATCCGCTCATTCAATAAATGTTTACTGAGTGCCTACTTAGCAACAGGGTGCTACCCTAGGGTGATTGTGAGGATTATATAAAACAAAGTATGAGAAGCCTCTAACACCAAGCTTATTTCATTATAAAATAATAATATGGCTGGGCGCAGTGGCTCATGCCCATAAACCTAGCATGCTGGGAGGCCATGGCAGGAGGATTGCTTGAGGCCAGGAGTTCAAGACCAGTCTGGGCAACATAGCAAGATGCTGTCTCTTAAACAACAACAACAACAAAACACTCTTAATAAACTATGTTATTTATGCCCCATAGTGTGACCTTAGCTCACTGCAGCCTCAACCTCCTGGATTCTAGCAATACACCTGCCTTAGCCTCTTGAGTAGCTGGGACTACCGGTGCATGTCACCATGCCAGGCTAATTAAAAAAATTTTTTTTTGGTCAGGCGCGATGGCTCACGCCTGTAAAACCAGCACTTTGAGGGGCTGAGGGGTAGATCACGAGGTCAAGGGGTTGAGATCATCCTGGCCAATATGGTGAAACCCCTCTCTACTAAAATACAAAAAATTAGCAGGACATGGTGGCACGCACCTGTAATTACAGCTATTTGGGAGGTTGAGGCAGGGGAGTCACTTGAACCCAGGAGGCAGAGATTGCAGTGAGCTGAGATGGTGCCACTGCACTGCAGCCAGGCAACAGAGCAAGATTTTCTCAAAATAATAATAATAATAATTTTTTTTTTTTTGTAGAGATGGGGATCTCACTATGTTGCTCAGGCTTGTCTTGAACTCCTGGCCTCAAGAAATCCTCCTCTCTTGGCTTACCAAAAATTCTGGGATTACAGGCATCAGTCACCAAGCCTAGCCTCATTATATTATCATTATAATAATCTGTATTTGCAATTTGAATTTTCTCATTGATCAAATAATTATTTAGGACTGTTTTGGGATTCTTTAAGAGGTTGGTTTCTATTACTTAAACATTTAGGAATTTCTGGTTTATTGCATTATGGTCTGAGTATGTGTCCAGTACAACTTCAAGTTTGGGGAATTTCTCATCTCCTTCACAGCCTAATATTTGAACAAGATTTGTAAATGTTTTATTGGCATTGAAAAAGTTAGGTTCTCCATTTATGAGACACAAAGTTACAAACATCAAATATAAATATCAAGTGATATTTATAAATAAATATCACTTGAATATGTGCTCCAAGAGGATGGAGGCTCAGGATGTTCACGGATGATATATTTATGGCTGATATCTTTCTGGTATCCAGCAAAGGGCCTGGCACACAACATTCAGTACATATTTGTTGAATGAGAGGCTAATTAATTAATCAGCTTTATCATTGAGATTCTCTGTTCCCTTATACCTTTGTATATTTTTCTTTTTTCTTTTCTTTTTTTTTTTTTTTGAGACAGAGTCTCATTCTGTCACCCAGGCTGGAGTGCAGTGGCATGATCTCCACTCACTGCAACCTCCACCTGCCAGGTTCAAGCAATTCTCCTGCCTCAACCTCCCGAGTAGCTGGGATTACGGCTGCGTGCCACCATGCCTGGCTAACTTTTTGTATTTTTAGTAGAGACTGGGTTTCACCATGCTGGCCAGTTTGGTCTCAAACTCCTGACCTCATGATCTGCCTGCTTCAGCCTCTCAAAGTGCTGGGATTACAGGCGTGAGCCACCACGCCCAGCACCTTTGTATATTTTTCTTACTTTGTCTGTCAAAGAAAATTATATTACATTTTCCTGGTACTATTATATTTCTGACAATTTCCCTGGGTATTTCTAATGATTTTGGTTTATTTATTTTTTCTAGTTGTTGAGACAGAGTGCTCTTTCTTATAAAACACCACCCCTTCCCTCTATGGAAAAAAAATCTATTCCCAGTACCTTCTCGGTTCTTGCAAATATTACAGCCAAATGCCTTTTTTTTTCTGGTATGGCAGTGTCTGCTCACCACAGACATATAGTGGAAGGTGAGTGCGCTCTGGTCTCCTGATCTCCAGGAGTCTGGGCTATGAGAAGGAAGAAGAGAGAAATACCAAAAGGCTATATTTGCAGGGTTTTTATGGAAAACTCTGATTTCAAACAATCTTCACCATCTGAGATGGTTTTCCTTCTAATGACTCCATCTGGTCCTCACATTGATCTTAGTTCTCAGCGGCTAATAACTCTGGCCTTGCCTTGTTCAGAGAACATTCAACCCCCTCTCCTACTCCGGTCACGTTGCAAAACATCTTCGGTGGCAATTCATGGGTCCTTGGAATAGCATCACTCTCATTCCTGGGTCTCCAATCACAACCTTCACTTCCATGGTTTTTTTGCTTGTTTGCTTGCTTGCTTGCTTGCTTTTTTTGAGGCGGAGTTTTGCTCTTGTTGCTCAGGCTGGAATGCAATGAAGCAATCTCAGCTCACTGCAACCTCCAACTCCCAGGTTCAAGCTATTCTCCTGCCTCAGCCTCCCAAGTAGCTGGGATTACAGGCATGCACCACCACACCCAGCTAATTTTGTATTTTTAGTGAAGATGGGGTTTCATCATGTTGGCCAGGCTGGTCTCAAACTCCTGACCTCAGTACCTCAGTTGATCTGCCTACCTCAGCCTCCCAGAGTGCTGGGATTACAAGTGTGAGCCACCACACCTGGCCTCACTTCCATGGTTTTAACCCTTCTTTCCTTTCTGGTCCAAGAGACACACTTGGCAGTGGGCAGGAGAAGCATCACTCCATACTTTTTAATTTATTTTTATTTTTATTTTTTGAGATGGAGTCTTGCTCTGTCGCCCAGGCTGGAGTGCAATGGCGCCATCTCAGTTCACTGCAACCTCTGCCTCCCAGGTTGAAGTGATTGTCCTGCCTCAGCCTCCTGAGTAGCTGGGATTACAGGATTACAGGCATGTGCTACCATGCCCAACTAGTTTTTGTATTTTTAATAGAGACAGGGTTTCGCCATGTTGGTGAGCTGGTCTTGAACTCCCGACCTCCAGTGATCTGCCCGTCTCGGCCTCCCAAAGTGCTGGGATTACAGATGTATGCCACCGTGCCCGGCCTTTGTTGAAATAAATAAATAAAATTGACTGGGCATGGTGGCTTACCCCTATAATTCTAGCACTTTGGGAGGCTGAGGTAGGCAATTACTTGAGCCCATGAGTTTAAGGCCAGCCTAGGCAACATAGGGAGACTGTCTCTACAAAAAGTTTGAAAAAAATTTAGCCTCTCACGGTGGTGTGGACCTGTCATCCCAGCTACTCGGGAGTCTGAGAGGTTGAAGCTGCGGTAGCATCATCATAGCTCTCTGATGTTACTACTGCACTCCAGCCTGGGCAACAAAGCAAGACCCTGTCTTAAGGAAAAAAAAAAGCTGGTGCAGTGGTTCACACCTGTAATCCCAGCACTTCGGGAGGCTGAGGCAGGCAGATCACGAGGTCAGGAGTTCAAGACCAGCCTGACCAACATGGTGAAACCCTGTCTCTACTAAAAATACGAAAATTTCCTGGGCGTGGTGGTGCACACCTGTAATATCAGGTACTCAGGAGGCTAAGGCAAGAGAATCACTTGAACCCAAGAGGCGGAGGTTGCAGTGAGCTGAGATGGCACCACTGGACCCCAGCCTGGGCGACAGAGTGAGACTCTGTCTCAAAAAAAAAAAATTATATTTATGTATATACACACAGACACACAGACACACACACACATATATACACACACACATATGCATACATACATAATGGGAGTTAAATATATATTATATACGTGTATATATGTGCTTGTGTATATATAAAATAATATATATAATATATAATATGATTATATATTATATATTACATAATTATATATATATATTATATATAATATATATATAAAATGGGAGTTAGCACAGAGTCTGGCATATGGGCTAACCATTATTATGTTCATTATTATTATTACATCCTGCTGGCCCACTGCTAACATTTGTAGGGCCCAGGACAGCAGTTCAGGTAGAGGTGTACATAAGTCTTACTACTTAAATGTACAAAACAAGCCATGCCCAACCCCCAGCCCCGAATCACACCCTTAGTCTGCTCCCCTGGGACCGTCCTCACAATCCAAACTTTAAAGCAATCAAACTCTTCCCTGGACCAGGGTCACTACTTGCAAGCACAAGGGTTAGCGCAGCCTGGCTAGGGCAGGGTGGGCAGAAGGTGCTCTGAGCTCAGGCTCCGCATAGTTGACAAAACCCATCGCGCTCACACCTGCAGACGTTCCGCTTCACATCCACTGCAACTCACACATTTCTCTTCCACAATTCCCAACTGTGCAGTCGATTACTGAATTTTCAGAAACTTTTCACCAAACCAAAAACAGCGGTGGGATATTGCAGTACCTGTGATCTGCAGGGCCCTCTGTGTCCCGCTACCCGGGGTGTGGCCCTTGGAACAGCAGCATCAGCGTTGCCTAAGGGCTTATTAGCAATGCACAGTATCTGTTCCCACCCAAGACCTACTAAATCAGAATCTGCTTTTTTTTTTTTTTTAATACAGAGTTTCGCTCTTGTTGCCCATATTGGAGTGCAGTAGTAAGATCTTGACTCACTGCAACTTTCACCTCCTGGGTTCAAGCGATTCTGCTGCCTCTGCCTCCTGAGTACCTGGGATTACAGGTGCGGGCCACCACACCCACTAATTTTTGTATTTTTAGTAGAGACCAGGTTACACATGTTGGCCAGGCTAGGCTCAAACTCCTGACTTCAGGTGATCCGCCCACCTCGGCCTCCCAAAGTGCTGGGATTACAGGCATGAGCCACAGAATCTGCTTTTAACACGATCTTCAGGAAATCTGTATGAAATTACAGTTTGAGAAGCACTGAACGAAGCACACAGCCAAGTAAGAGCCCCTCCTGCCCAGGTAAGAAGGTCATTCTGATTCCCTGACCAGCAAATCTTGAGTAGCTGCCTCCCCAGTCGCTCTCTACCACACCACCCTATTTCCTTCATACAATTTAGCATAACCTCTAATTTCTAGTGTACTGCCTGTCTCCTCAAACTATAATATAAGCTACAAAGAGGTACCACATCTGTCAAGTTTAGTGCTGTATCCACTGGGTCCACAACAAGGCACATGCAGAGAGGGTGCTTCAGACAGCATTTAACTGAATTAAATACCTTCAATTGTTACACATCATTATTTTAGGTGCCACTAAGAAAAAATGCTGCCAGTTAAACTATGACACAAGTTTGTGGGGTTTTTTTTGAGACAGTCTCGCTCTGTCACCCAGGCTGGAGTGCAGTGGCATCATCTCAGTTCATTGCAACCTCTGCCTCCCAGGTTCAAGCAAGCCTCTTGCCTCAGGCTCCTGAGTAAATGGGACTACAGGTGTGTGCCACCATGCCTGGCTAATTTTTGTATTTTTAGGAGAGACGACATTTCTTCATGTTGGCCACGCTGGTCTCAAACTCCTGACCTCAAGTGATCCACCCGCCTCGGCCTCCCAAAGTGCTAGGATTACAGGCATGAGCCACAGCGGCTGGCTAAACTATGATACAATGGTTTCTTAACACTTAAATTTGTATTTTATGCTAATTGAAAGCTCTTTCAGACCATTAAAAAATCTAATTCTGTTGCATACACAAAAACAAAAATAAAATGGTTAAAATACTCTAAAAACATCTTTAAAGTCTGACTCTTCTGAATCACTTTCTATCAATGTCTGTGTTATTGTCCCCTGTACTGTCAAGGGCATTGGAGAAGCAGAATTTCTTTTAAAAGTACTCCACTGCTGTCTTCAAGATTTTCTTCTAAGCTGCTGACACATTCTTAGTTTACTAAACAGTGTCGAAAAAATTGATGTCTTCACTAACAAATTTTTGCTCCACTACTTCGTTTCTATGCTTAATACATCATTTCCTTTTGATTTCCATTTTAAAGTTTATCTTTTTGAAGATTTTTTTTCTTAATAGCCTTTATTTATTTATTTATTTGAGACGGTCTTGCTCTGGCACCAGGCTGGACTGCAGTACCATGATCTCTGCTCACTACAACCTCCACCTCCTGGGTTCAAGCGATTCTCCTGCCTCAGCCTCCCAAGTAGCTGGGATTACAGGCATGCGTCACCGACCCTGGCTGAATAGCCTTTATTATTACTATTATTTGCCTTTATTTTTTAAAAGCAGTTTTGGGTTCACAGCAAAATTGAGCAGAAATTACAGGGTTTTCTTTCTTTTTTTTTTTTTTTTTTTTTAAAGGGGTTTTTTTCTTTTTTTTTTTTTTTTTTTTTTTTAGTACAGGTGGGTTTCACCGTGTTGCCCAGGCTAGCCTTGAACTCCTGACCTCAGGTGATCCACCCGCCTCAGCCTCCCAAAGTGCTGGGATCACAGGCGTGAGCCACCAATCCCAGCCAAAAGTACAGGGTTTTCTTATACTCCTGCCCCACACATGCACAGCCTTTCCCACTGTCAACATCCGGCACCAGAGTGATAGATTTGTTACAATCAGTGAACTTACACTGACACATCATTATCAGCCAAAGTCCATAGTTTGCGTAAGGGTTGCCTCTGATGTTGCAGGTTCCATGGGCTTAGACAAATATGTAATGACCTATCTTTTTAGCATCATACAGAGAAGTTTCACTGCCCTAAAACCCTCTGTGCTCTGTTTATTCCTCCCTCCCGTCCCTGCCAACCACTGGCTGCCTCTGACCTTTTTACTGTCTTCGGAGTTGTTTTTTTCCAGAAAGTTACACACTTGTAGGCAGATTTTCCAGATCAGCTTCTTTTTTGTTGTTGTTGTTTTAAGATGGAGTTTCACTCTTGTTGAGTGCAATGGAGTGATCTCAGCTCCACAAACTCTGCTTCCCGGGTTCAAGCGATTCTCCTGCCTCAGCCTCCCGAGTAGGTAGAATTACAGGAATGCACCACCACGCCCAGCTAATTTTGTATTTTTAGTAGAAACGGGGGTCTCTCCATGTTGGTAAGGCTGGTCTTGAACTCCTGACCTAAGGTGATCCACCCGCCTCAGCCTCCGAAAATGATGGGATTACAGGCATGGGCCGCCACACTTGGCCTCAGATCAGCTTCTTTCACTTATGTATATAAGGTTCTTCCATGTCCCTTCGGGGCTTGAGAGCTCATTTCTTCTTAGCACTGGGTAATATTTATTATCTGCAAATAGTTATTTGTGGCCAGGTGCAGTGGCTCACACCTATCATCCCAGTTTATCCATTCACCTACTGAAGGACATCTTGGTTGTTCCCAAGTTTTAGCAATATGAATAAAGTTTTTCTGAACACCTGTGTGCAGATTTTTGTGTAAACATAAGTTTTCAAGTCATTTGGTTATAAATACCAAAGAATTTGATTGTAGGATCATATGGTTCTAGTAGCATTTAGTTTTGTAAGAAACTACCTTCGAGGTGCGGTGGCTCACACCTACAATCCCAGCACTTTGGGAGGCAGGGGTGGGTGAATCATCTGAGGTTAGGAGTTGGAGATCAGCCTGACCAACATGGTGAAATCCCGTCTCTACTAAAAATACAGAAAATTAGCCAGGCATGGTGGTGAGCAACTATAATCCCAGCTACTTGGGAGGCTGAGGCAGGAGAATCGCTTGAACCCAGGAGGCAGAGGTTGCAGTGAGCCAAGATCACGCCATTGAACTCCAGCCTGGGCGACAAGAGCAAAATTGAAAAATAGTTATTTTATGTTTTGGATAACAGTCCTTTAGCAGATTTCTCTTTTGCAAATATTTTCTTGCACTCTGTGTCTTCTCATTCTCTTGTCAGTGTCTTTGCAGAGAAGTTTTGTGTTTTTTTGTTTTTTTGTTTGTTTGTTTTGAGACTGACCTCTCTCTTTTGCCAAGCTGGAGTGCAGTGGCACTATCTCAGCTCACTGCAACCTCTGCCTCCCGTGTTCAAGCGATTCTCCTGCCTCAGCTTCCCAAGTAGTGGGGACAACAGGGGCACCACCATGCCCAGCTAATTTTTGTATTTTTAGTAGACACAGGGCTTCACCATGTTGGCCAGGATGGTCTCGATCTCCTGACCTCATGATCCGACTGCCTTGGCTTCCCGAAGTGCTGGGATTACAGGCGTGAGCCACAGTGCCCGGCTGAGAAATTTTTTTTTTTTTTTGGGGACGGAGTTTCGCTCTTGTTACCCAGGCTGGAGTGCAATGGTGCGATCTCGGCTCACCGCAACCTCCGCCTCCTG